TCTCCCAGTCACCACAATCATCAGGGTAATTATGAGTGAAGGTCGGTTCTCACCATGACCTGCGCGCGATAACGCGCCCGCCATCGTGGTCCCCTGTCCGTCCCTGCCACCCAACTCGCAAAAGCTTGGCGTCGATGGCGTCGAGACACATGTTCTCCATAGCACCCCCATGCGCCTCTGCCAACATGCCAAGGTCATCACGGAAAAGCCATGGACGGAAAAGTCACAAGAAGCACGGAAATGCTTCGCAAACGTCAAATTCGTCGTATGAGAATGTTGGTTGTCAACTACCAGCTTCACGACGCTGGCCAGGCAATCAGCAGATGAGGTTTATCCCAATGTTTTTGGTTCCATCGGAAAACCCCACAACGCCGCTGCAGTCGGGATCCGTGAACGAATGGGAACTCACCCATCCGTGGCCCTGACCATGGTGTTCATCCAGAGTCTCAGTCATCTGAGTCCTCGTAGCTCGCCATGCGCTCGGAATATCTTGGAGTTGCCATGCAGACTGCTGTCCGATGGGCGTTGGCCCCTCAAGCTCCTGCACTCAACAGAGTGATACAGAGTGAGTGCTGAAGTGACAATAGCCGCCCCAGCACACTGCAGCTCTCGTGTTTTCTAACATCCGTGTTCGTTTCCGCACCATTCCGGATCTCTCAGCCTGAAAACATTTGATGCTTTAGGTATCGACCCCCCATTCATGCCATTGGGAGCGGTCTTGCATGGACAATGTTCCAGGGTATATCGTGTGACCCCTGTTCACCAACCATTGAGACGAGGTTACAGCGGGAAGAGACCCAGCTTGCCACCCCGCATGATCACAGATCCGCGAGAGCTCTGCATTTCTGTAGCAGATGCTTTTTGTTTAACAGGATTTTATTACATATTTTGCAATGGCCTCAAAAGAAGTTGACGAGCATGTGCAGGTACCAAGTACCTCAGGGCATTAATGTCAGCAAAGGTTGGGTTGTGATCATCCGAAAAAAAGCATCCAGAGATTGCAGGCAGGAAGAGCCATACTCAAACAAATTTACCACTACACTCGGCAGACTTCTAGAACGTATCCATAAGAGGAAGAAAAGCAGTTAGCACTCGCCTGATTTCGATGTCCATCTGGCTAGCTTGAGGTAGCCCCGATGCCAGACTCGTACAGCTGTGGGATTGGCGCCCGCTGAGTTCAAGACATTCCACCAAGTCAATTTTTGGCTGCCTTGGGTTGTTCGTTCGTTAAGTACACTCAACTCACAAGAGACATGCCAATCCCGAGCATTTGGGACCGCTAATGCGCCGATTTGGCCTTGCCGCCGAGCCACACTACTTCATCCGGTGACGGCGGAGAGATCTTTCAAGCCGTTGGTGGCTTCGGAAAAGCACATCACAAGTCTAGTCACTGTAAGTAAGAGTTGCCACCTCCTGATCCTTCCAAATTTGCCGCAAGCACTCAAAAATATTGGACTCATTCGCATCCAACTTGAAAAGAATTTGGGCAATATTAAAGCCTGATAAAAGTAGACATTAGGATGAAATCTTGCTTATATGACGGGGCATGAGGTTTGCCAACCTCCAGCTTGTTTACCGAGGTACATGGCATGGAGTGACCCAATCTCTGCCCATGAGCCTAAGAAAACCTTGAAGCTTTGCGACGACGCCCAGCCTCGAATAGTTACGTTTACACATTGACGCTTGGGGTTCTTTCACCGACAAACACAAGGAAAAACGAAGAGTCTTCTTTGTTTCTAGCGAAAAGTTCTTCTGAATGTTGCTTATCTCCAAAAGATCTCACCCAGACAAATTGTCAAGGACCCGTAACCAAGACCGAATTTCTTGGTTAACCCTATCAGGCTGCTCTCGGAATACCCAATGGCCGGCACCTGGAAATGTGACGAGACGGACTGTATTCACAAAAAACTTTGGAATTCCATCCAAAAACTTCGTCGAAAAGTAGGTGTCCGCAAAGCCCCAGATGATGAGCGCGGGCACCTGGTATATCATCCCAGAAGTGTCTACATGCTGGCCGTATGGTGGACCCGGATAGTTGTATCTGTAGTAGGCGTACATGCCTTCCATTGGTGACTCGGAGAGATAATCATGCATCTCGCGACGCTGCTCGTCATCTTTGATACCCTCAAGCGCGGCGCCTAAGTTCTTGTCGTCCCCTTTCTGGTACTGAATGTGACGGATAGTATAGGCAGACTGGGCTTGTTGCTCTTTATCGAATTGAATGAGCTCGTGAAAGCGAGGGAGGATGGGCGAGTTCATGATGATGAGCCCGGAGACACGCTCGGGATGGTGAAGGGCCAGTAATTGGATAGCGGCGCCGCCGAAGTCGTGGCCGCCGACAATTGCCTGAGCGGCATTGAAATGGTCGAGGATGGCCAAAATGTCTCCAACCACAGTTTGCAAAGAGTAGGCGTCTTGATCGACGGTGGGAATGTCGCTAGGCGGGTAGCCGCGAAGGGTGGGGCACACGATTGTATGTGTCTTTGAGAATTCGGCCACCTGATGGGTCCAAGTCCTCGAGTTGTCGGGAAAGCCGTGGAGAAGCACCATCAGGGGGCCTTGACCAGTCACGTAGAAGTGTATTCGTACGCCTGCATTCATAATGAAGTCCGATCGTGTTGATCTTGAGGCCGCCGAGACCGACATCTTTGCTGACCCTGGCTAATCGTCTGATGATGGGTTGCAGCTTAGGGGCAGCAGATGATACGATAAAGATAAAGCAACAATGACTTCAAAAGCTCAGGAAGGAGTTGTCGATTGCTATACTACAAGTTGAAGCTTAACACTAGGGAATTAAGTAGTTGAGCGAATTCAGTGGTCGACGTTCGCTGACTATTGAGTCTCGGGAAAATTACGTGATCTCGGACAGTGAAACCATAGGTAATCTTCGTAAGCATTGCTCGGCGCACAACGCCGCCGATCTGTAATCCTGAATATTTTCTTGCCTTGGTGACCAATCCCAGGTTCAAGTGAAAACTTTGCTCGAGAATGCCTGAGGATTTCGTCAAATGTCTACATATTTGTTAGAAAATAGGTTTCGTCGACTGACTCGGCTCGTTTCATCGTCCTATCATATGCACCGTGTATCTTCCCTTTGCTTCTCCAAAGACTTTGATGCTTATCGGTACTGCTTACTTTCTCACCAAACACTGATGCTCGATGATTGGTCTAACTGTTTAGCTTGTTCGACCCTGCCAAGACGGCCCGTATGACTGACGATGCAGACTTACGCAGGGAGCCTTTGTCCTTGCTGGTGACCGAGCAAGATCTCCTTTGGACATTGGAAGACAATCTTATACGCAGGAGCATAGTGAGTGCCATGGGGCACTATCAACGGCCTCATGCGAACGTTCGTCGGCCTTGCCATCGCACGCGACCTTGCCGGAGTGGAGGGTGCATGGGCTGGTGCTTTCGGCTGCGTTTGGAAGTCGGGAAGTTGGTCTCTTTAATCCCAGTGAGAAGCCTACTGATATTACCTTTTGACAAGCCCCTGCGGTAGTCTGGGATGAGCCTTACAAGTACTCAATTCTCATTACCTCAATAAGCTGACGGCCTTCGTGTTATGGGAGCAACTTTGCCAAATACCTGATCTTGCTATTCAATATTTGGAAGGTGCCGTCGTTCGTGAGACTAATCACTGCGTTGCTTCTCTCCTTCATGCCACTCGGAGTTTTGTTGTGGTACAGGTTCGTGTGGCTGCTCGCCGTTCGGAACTGGACACCCCTCTTGTCATCAGCTGCCCTCATACCGTTCACAATTCTAGGCGCCCTGACGGAATTTCTTCCAGCTTGGCTGAAATCTAGCGAATACTAGCTTGGGACATCTTGGCTATCGACACGTTATGCGTAATTGTCTGAACAAGACTGGCGATGGGGTCAGGAACGCAGTTCTACTGGCCTCAGCTACCCCTTCGCAATAATCTTCATGACATCTTGCCCACTTCATCTTACTCACTGACTTGATATTCTTTTGGGTAGAGCTGATGAGAACAACAGCCGGCAACAGAGCCGGAGCAGAAACTAACATTCTGTTGATACTCTTTCTGGGCGGAAAATTACTTCTGGATTCTCATGAATTCCGTCTTTCTCGACACACGCTTCAGTCCATAGCCAGTTGAGGGGGCAGATCATGACTGAACATTTGCGTGTCTTCTTTCTCTGCATTTCCAGTCAGAGTTAAAGCAAGTCTCCGAACATTCGTGATCTTTACTATATCATGCAATGAAACCACATAAGCTATGTTCCTGGTGTGGCGGAAAACAATGCCATTCGTCACTAGACAGCGGTTGGCCACCCAGGATTGGAACCTCGTATTGAGGCTGATGGCGCTCCTATCCCATCGGGTGCTGAATGGCGTCAGTACATTACTACTGGGGGTAGTACCGGGTTCCGTATTGTTTCTCTATTTTCTGTGTTAATTATCTGAGATCTTACTGATGCATATAATAAAAAGAAAATCAGAACGGAGTTAGTATTGGAGGAAACTGGGTACCAATTATCAACGTCATTCAGCACCCGATGGGATCTCGAATCCTCGAACCTACTAACCCAACTGCGTAGTGCCTCACATAATACACGCAGCACTAAAGTCCCACTGAGATGTTCTTGATTTCAGGACGGCCAATACAGTGCTTTGAGACCATCGATTCCGTTTGTCACGAGTAGCACCTCGCCGATTGGCACCAGACAAGGTATAAAGTATGCAGCATGTGTTTGTCATAGCTTTTGATGCATACAATTTTGCCATTTTCAGGTTTGATGTTACACTGAGGCGCACATTGCTGCAATACAGAGGCGATTGGCCAAGCTATTGATGCAGGCGTTGTGTGGCCTCGCCTAGGAATACGAATCGATCCATCGGCTGAAAAAGCAACGTGTAACATCGTATCATTATTGATAGGTTCTGAGGAACCATTCACGCTGACTAGGTGTTCTGAGGTATAAAAACCGTCTCTTTCCCGATTCGCGAAGTTATCACTTTAGGCCCAATGGGAGCTCATTGAAATCGTCTTGCTGATTGCAATTGCAAGAATCCGCATTCAAGTGATACATCTATTGAAATCCATTTACCGTCCTTGAAAATGATCTCTTTCAAAAATCTATTCCTGTTGGTTCCCGTCATTCCTCAGCTTGTAGTTGCGACGTCATGCGACTACGGATCCTGGTACATCGAAATCAACCTTGCAGCAGGCGCTCAAGGCAACCGACGCGGAGATCTCTATGCTGCGCATTCCAAGACTCCAGACGTGATCAGCCACTCAGTATGGATCTATGACCCCCAGACGCAGTTAACTACCTATACCGCGGAAGATGCGACCTTAAACAACACCCGTATTTCGGTTCTTGGCCTGCAGGGTACGTCTATTATACCAAGAGGTGGCACGAGATGGATTGAAGCTAATGGTCATCACAGATTTTGAGATAGAGCAGACTGTCCTTGAGACCCCCTTGAAGGGATCTGGGCTTATCGACATGTACTTCAGCCCGGCTGCAAACGGCCGCGGCGGCAAGGGCAACACGACGATTATTTCGGAGTTGAACGATTGAATCGGTGTAGCGGCACCGCAATTTCAGATCGGCCCCATGGAACTTAGACCTTTTTCATGTCGGCTCGCGCAAAGTCGTGGCAAGGCTATGCGTGTCAAATTCTGAATTGGTCTTTTTGGAGAGCAACATATCCTTGACGCTACATGATGTGTACATATAAGACAAGAACTTCCTCAAATTCCGCAAAGCCTGCACTTAGGGAACAGACAAACTAAGTTCAAAGATTACTGATCTTTTGTGGAAAACCTTTCTGCTGTACTCAATTTACACTCACGCCCTACAATTGGTAGGGCGTGGCGCAGAAATTGCCTCGGTGGCAGTCCGAAATTGAGTGAATAGTAATCAGACCCCTCAACACACCCTCGGCAGTGAGATGAATGACGCTTCCCACACAAAGTCCCAATCCACGCGTGCTGTTCGTACAACAGAATATTTTGGAGAGTGGACCACGAAGGGTCCCCAAAAGAACGTCGATGGAGCACATATGTCACTGTCCGCGATCCTGAACAGTGCAGCATCCTCCTCGTACTTGGCTGGATCTCGACACCAGACACCGGATCATTCCAACTTGTCATTCTTGGGAGCACCGGGAATAAAATTTCGAATCATTATGGGCAATCAGAGAGCCAAAGTAGTTTCGAAAAGACGTGGGCGGAAATCGCCAACGTCTGACGATGCCAACGACGATGACATGCGCAGGGTCAGTAAAGCCACCGCCTGGTTTCTGCTCGTAAATATCTACATTTACTGTCGCACCTCTCCATTACATCTCAACCATACTGGACCTGACGACTGACGAGTCCAAGATCCGGAGAGAAAGGAACCGCGAGGCACAACAAGTATTTCGGAAACGGCGACAAGCTGCAGATGTAGCACAGAAGCAGCGAATCGAGAGGTTGGAGAATGTTGTAGAGAACATGACGCTCCTCTTCATTGACCTATTTGACGAGGTCATCGGGAACAAGGGTGTTCTGAAACAGCAGGAGGATCTTCTTGCCCTCTTTCAAGACTCAGCGATACAATTGAAGACAATGGTGCAGCCCATCACTGATAGCGAGGATGACAACGACGATGGGAACCCAATCTCTGGGGCCACGCGGTTTACGAATATCCACGAAAGACCTTCTTGTTTTACTTCGACCTCGTCGACTCATCAAAGTCCTTTGGGGCAGAACGGAGGCGCGGCCGACCGCTTGAGTCTTGCCAAAGGCAATAGCGGCGGCGAAGTCGATGGTTCACCTGCGGATGCCATGCCAGCACCAGCTAATGTAGGACATATTGAGGCTCTGGACATGCCACATTTACCGACCACGAAGTCGAATCCTCCTTCTCAGGCATTTTGCCTTCAACTACTAGAGGCGACTCTATCTCAAGCATGCTTGATACTAGCCGGCTGTCTACCCGTATCACCGGGCGACTTTCAGAGCATATTTGGCGTGACATTGCAGTACCGTACAAGAGATGAACAGCTAAGCCAAATACGCTACCTACTCGGCTCGGATACAGAAAAGCGCCTGGCAGCAGGGATGCCTCCATGGAATTCTGTGAGGGACTGGCAGGGCCAACATAGTCTGCAGCTGGGATTCGGCCTCATCGCAGACTATGAGGCTGATGTGGTACATGGCAAAAGCCTCCCACCAGGGTTTATAACAGCACTTGAAGTTCAGAGACAATTGCAAAACCTCGGTGCACGAAAGCTGTCCAGTAACACCCTCGAAGTCAACATCACTTCGGCCGTGGAGGATCCTGATATGGCTGCACGTGTTCTCGCGCCGACGCTTCGTGCACCCACTCTTCAGGCCTCCGATTTTGGCCTCGCCAAAGCTTTGACTCTTCAGCTCAACATGTCACTGCTTATTACAAATCTTACAAGTTCGGCGAAATGCTTTATGACTGGACCGGCTTACTCTCAGCTGGGCTTTTTCAAGGCGGTGGAGGCATCCTTGATATCTGTCACTGACGCTTCAGCCGGGTAAGCGATGGTGGATCATCGGCGAGCTTGAAGTATTCGTCCACGATCGCTCCTATATGTGTCCCATACCACTTTTCATATCAAGTTGGGAAATTTACTTGACATTAAGCAGTAGCAGGGAATCCTGTACATGGTGAAGGGCACATGCAGGCGGGCTTTAGAGGACAGATTCAGAATAAGTGAAAGCCGATTCGACGTCTACACCTATCTCAACAATTAAACTGATTCCAGCCTATTATACCAATCTCTTTCTCTTCTTTCACTCCGATAGATTCAAGATGAATGACATCATGCCAGCTACCAAGAAGCTCGCGACGAGAGCGGCCGTAGAAGACTACGTCGCAGGCTTTAGTGCTGACGATTTCGCTCGTTTCAGTGGCTATTATGCCAAGAATGCGATTGAAAGTATTTCTGATATCGTCGCACATGTACAGCAAACGAGCTTCTTGCTATGTTTCATGTTCACTGACATTTGCCGCGCTTTTGTCTCAGCTCAACATTCCTGCGCTCGAGGACAAGTCTTTGACTGGATATATTGCTTGGCTCAAGACTATGCATACTATGGTCTCGGAGGAGCTTGTTCCTCAAAATATCACTTTCGAACAATCAGGAAGGCAGGTCAACGTGGATTATCACGTCCAACTCAGAGGGCTGGGGGATTTTAGCACGGAAAATTTCAACGGACGACTCGGTCCGGTTTCTAGAGGCACTGGCCCTCTAGCGCAGATGTCGTTGACCTATCAGCTCAACTCCGATGGCCATCTCATAGGAATTTAAGTCAGCAATTTTGCGCTGCTTGAACAGGCCCAGTAGAGACATGCTTAAGCATAGAAGAAATTCAATATACCGAGCTCCTGAGCACCTTCTTTGTCTCCTTGAGCATCCCCAGTGGCGTATGTATGATTAATTGCTATGAACAGCCCGTCCAATACTATGTGTCTCTCCTCCCTTCCCTTTTCTTGCTAAACAGATGTGAAGAAAAGAAGGGAGGAGAGATGGTTAGTGTCGGACAGGCTATTCAAAAGAAAGCTGCAGGATCTTTCTCGACACAAGAAAAACATCCAACTGTTGTTGCCTGTTCCCTAGTCTGACATGCTTATGTATGTTGATAAGAAGACGCGAGGAATGACCTGCGAAGCCGTTACTGGGGGCCGCTCTTAGAATTGCGTGCTTATGGTAGCCCCGACCCTATGTAACTGCCACCAACTCAATCCCAGTAACTTCGTCGCAGATTTGCGTTTTAAAGGGCGAACAGATGGCCTAACTCCGTGGTTTTCCCAAGGACGAGTTCCATCGCCAGCCCTGTTATATGACTTAAATAGAATCTTAAGAAGGGCCACAAAGACTCGGCTGATACCCAGTTTCAGATTCTCCACTACTATTAACTCCAAGATAGCCTAAAGATATTCACAAATCCGGACTCTCATGAGGGATAACAATGTAGTACTGAGATGGAAGATGTGATACTATTGCCTTAATTGTCGCTTTTTGGGGAAAGCCCATCAAGGTTCACCATGGACGCGATCAAGTAGTCCCTGATAGCGAGTCACAATCCCTCGTCTGTTAAGCTTCCCAACCGCTGTTGTCAAGCCCTGGAGTCGATATTAGTCTCGAAGTACTGGATGCCATGACTCAATTCTGAAAGATGGTACTGACATTCTGAGGAGTCCACTCTGCATCGTCAACAAGCACAACCGCCTCGACTACCTCAATCGAGGTAAGCCCGGCCTCCTGAGCGATCTGTTGCAACTGCATAAGGGCGCCATGCACGACAAGTGGATGTCGTGTAAGCGCTGATGTTTTACAGCGGAAATCTAAGCCATGTCTCTTAACTAGTTCCTTTAAGGCTGGTGGTGAAGGAATGACTATAGCCGTCGGCTTTGCGCGGTCAGGCGATGCATGGATGCAGATATTAGCCACCAGCTTTGCAGAGCGGTAGATAGACTCTAGCTGGAATGAGTGAGTTGTGGTCAGTGTACGCACCTTCCACGGGCAAATGAACGATGAATCATGTAGACTGGCGTCATACCTTTTCAACCGCGATGTACTCTCCGTTGAGTGTTTTGACGAGGTTCTTTTTCCGGTCAATGATTCGGAAATGAAAGTCGTCGCCGCTGCATGTGGGTTCCCACTGCCCAATGTCGCCGGTGCGGAGCCAACCGCCGGGCACGACTGCACTTTTGGACTCATCGTCGTTGTCAAAGTACCCTTGCATAACACTATCGCCCCGTATCCAGATCTCTCCTTGCGATGGAATATTACTGGTGAGGTAGCCCGCATCATGATAGTCGACCAGTTTCATTTCTATGCTGGCCGGGATGCTCATACATCCTGGGCGCCATTGCCCGGGATCCATCAGACCGCCCATGCTGGAGGTTATCAAAACATCAGCTTCGGTTCAGCTTTGAACTCAGGCTATCGAGTGCTTGGACTTACGCCATTGTCTCGGTTAAGCCATATCCGTTGACCAAAGGAGCCATCACCATAGTCAAGAAGTTCTGCGTGCTTTCCGCTACGGGCCCGCCGCCTGACATGGCGAATCGCAGCCGGGACCCAACCACCTCACTTGCGGCGGACGATAGTATCCCATTCAAGCCGCCTGTCCCGGCTAATCCGGCTGCGGCCCATACTTCTTTTGCTTTCAGCCACGACCAGAAAGCAAGTCTGTCAATAAAGCTTGAATTTTCCACGCTGGAGAAAATTGCCTTTTTAATCCTTTCCCAGATAGCAGGAACACCGATCATAAAGGTTGGTTGCAAGGCATGTAGGTCTCCCACTTTGAGAGTGCCGGATGGACTGACATGGTTGAATAGCGTACGGGCACCGCCGTAGCCCATTTTTACACCCCAGAAGAGACAGCTGTTTTCGAAGGCGAATTCAAGAACATGAGCTAATGGTAAGTATGCGAGAAAAGAGTCGGAAGGCGAGAGATAGTCGCCGATCACGGAGTCAAGGCCTGTGACTGTTGACGGATTAGATGAGCGTTCGTGGTATTCCAAGGGAGACAAGATCAAGTATCGTGGCGAATTGACGGGTGACTTACCTGCTGCTACAACGGCCTTGTGTTTCACCGGAACTCCTTTCGGTATTCCTGTAGACCCAGAAGTGTAGTAGATGGCGCATAGATCCTCCCTATCAGGTTGAATAGGCTCACTAATCTTGCTCCGGCCAACCTGGCATAGCTGGCTGAAGCTGAGTACTTGAAGCCCGGGACGTGTCTTCTTGAGTTCGAACAAGCCTTTGATCCACTCAGCACCCGAATTGAATGTATAACTTGGCTGGTCGTTGTAGACTATGGCCTCGACTCGTGGAAGAGCTTTGATCGTCATTGCAGAAGTCACTTTTTGACAGAGATGGTGATCCACGAAGATGGCTTTGGCGCCTGTGGACTCTAGAGAATGCTCGAGGCCAGCAAGGCCGAGAGCTTCGTAGGCTGTCACGAAAACCATGGACTGTGAAGATGCGCCATGAGCGATTGATAACCATTGTGGGCTTCGTGGTGATCGTCAATTTCGGTAATTCCAGAAGAGTCCGCCGGGGATACTTGCCTAGTTGCTGCGTAGACGAGAATCTTATCAGTTTTCTGGAGACCGACCGCCCGCAAACCAGATCCTACATCACGAATCACGATAAGATAATCTCGGTATGATATGTACGTGTACTATTGATGCACAATCAGCCGTCTTGTCGTATGTGAATCTGACAGGGCATGTCACCAACCAGGGAATCTCCGGGCGATTCGGTTTTTGCATTTGTGTTTTCGGTTCCACTTGCTCGTGTACCCAAAGCAGGCTTGTCACCATATATCTCTGCCGCCCAATTAACAATGTCATAGACTGTCTGTATCTCGGTGTTGGGCTGCGACAGTAAGCCGGGTCTACCGGCAAGCTTGGCGTTTCTTTGGGGCCGGGTCTCGGCCGGGATAAGTGGGGCTCTCGGTAATGGAGTGGAGAACGGGGCGGAATCAGATGCCCGGACGCTGAATTCCGGGGACACCGTCATTGTGCTGGATCGAGCTTACTTGTGGGCAAAGTAAGACGATGCACATGGCCAGCGAAACGGGTGGTTCAATCATAGTGTTTTAATTGCTCCAACACTCGCTACAGGTGTCGTGTACATGATTCCTCGGGTGATTTTTGTTTGTCGGGTGTTAGCGCTGCACCTCATTTTTAGTCCCCGAATCCCACCGCGCTCCGTATAAGCTTCCAGTCTGAGAAAAATGACCCGCCACCGCACAAAAATCAACCCGCTACTCTTCCTAGAGAATCCCCCAGAGGAACAATTGCATCTACCGAGTCGAAAATATCACAGACGAAATCTCAAAATACCCGCGTGCGAGCTGCTGTGCCTGTCTCGCCCGAGCTGTTAGCGTAGCCCCAGCCCTGAGCATGGCGATCCGCACAAGGCCAGTTGACCTGAGTCCGTCAGCCCATCCTTTACATAGCCTGCCCTGTTCATCGATCGACCACTCATCGCTAGATACTCCAGTAGGCCCAAAAAGAAGGCCCTCAGGGTCGTATTTAGACTTGATGACCTGCAGCCTCGGGTAGTTTGCCCCATAGAAATCCTCCTTCCAGGTTTTGAGCTGGAAATCGCCCTCATTCATATAAGTACCGGAACCAAGCGTCAGTTCCCTCAGTTTCGGCACAACGACGTCGGTGATTTCGTCGGCACGGCGTTGGCCGTCTGCTCTAAGCGCACTAAAGTTCCACGTCGACTGTGCGAGTACAGTGATTAGGGTGTCTCGCCAGGCCGGCAGCACGGCATTGTCCGCAACGGGTTTCAGTCCAGGCGCCTGCTTTACATCCAGAGCAACAAATCCCAGAAAAGCATCCGTGTCTTCGAGAATGCTGCGAAAGGCCCCGACAAGAGCGGTGCTGTTCTCCTCGACAGTGGAGCGCGGGATCATCCTTCCGCCAAAGAGGTGGTGGATCGTGTAAGGGCCTCGGGGCAGAGGTCCACCGTGCTTACTGTAGTGTTCCAAGAATGTGGGTTCCGATGTCACTTCGAGCGTGTACTGTACGTCTAGCTCATCGAGTCGGTCGACCAGGGGGCTTATCAACCCGGAGACCTGCTGCTTGGTCCACCCAGGGAGAGTAATAGGCGCGATGAAGAAGGCGTCCTTGGTGACGGCGTATCCAGCTGTCCCGCCGGCGGTAGTGAGACTAGGTAGTAGGTCTTGCCAGCTTTTAAAGAAATTCCAGAAGCCATCTTTCGCCACTCCGGCGGTAGAGAATGCCAGAGTCGCACCTCCGATGGAGCCATCGGGGTATGCTCTCACCGTCAGCGAAAGAACGATGGCGTAGGTGCCAGGTCCGCCTCCGCTCAAGGCCCAATACAGGTTTGAGTGCCGCAGAGGCGTCGCCACCACATGTTCTCCGTAAGGCGTGATGACTTCCCACTCAAGGACCTGGTCGGCTCCGAGACCATACTGCGAGCTCAATGGGCCGTGGCCTCCGCCTTGGGTATAACCGCCGGCGACGCCTACCGTCGGGCAAAAGCCTCCAACCACACGAAGGCCTTTGTTGGCGGCAGCCGTGTAGGCTTCCAGCCCACGTACGCCGGCGCCCATTCGAAAGGCGGGACCGGTGTATGTTTCGCTTGCAAAGTGCAGCACTTCTATCGAACGGAGGCTACTTGTCCACAGGGCGAGCCCCCCTTTTGCGGTGGACTTGCCCATGTAACTTGCGAAGGTATGTTAGTGATCGTTTCAATATGCTAAAAGAACTTAGATTTCGATTTGGCTTGTTACGCACTCATGTCCCGTGTTTTTGATAGCCAGCCGGAGGGAGTGCCTGCGTGCGAATGAAAGACCTTGCACCGCGTCCTCTGCATTTGTAACGTTGATAGCGTAGGAAACACTATGTCCGAGCGTACAAGGGGTATCAACAGAACTGAAAGGATCGCAGCTGGAGTTCTGCCAGTAGGGGCTCTGGATGCCGCCTGGCCAAGATTCGCTGCAATTTCCCGTCAGACTGTATGACCCGAGCAAGGAATCACTAGGGTGTCAAAGCTCACTGAATCTCTGGCCAGACCCAGTCCTCGCGAATAGCGGCGCACTCGGCCTCGTCGTAGTTTGGGTTGTGGCAGACAGATGCCGGAGGGACTGGAGCAATGAGACGACCGCCCACAGAGGCGTTAAGATCCTGCCATTGCAACTCGGATGGCCAACAGCTATCGCCGTCAGTACATGTGCAGAACGGACGGTCCCAGCTGGAGGAATTTGGTGCCAGGATAAAGGCAGCTGTAATTGCCAGCCCCACGATTGAGGCTGGCCCGGAAAATTGGGATCGAAATTTCATTGCTAGAATAGATAGGCACTGGGAGCCAATTCTGCGGATGTCTACTTCAAATTTTCTTTACTTCACTTGAAATAGAGCATTATTATCGCGGGATAGCATCAGGACAAGAAGCGACCAACAAAATTCCGCAGTCGCTAAGAGTTGGCCGAGCTCGTTATTCCCCGGCGTTACTGACAAAAATACGCTATGAAGGATTGTTCTGCAAACTTAGACTTACAAAAAAATGCCCCGATCGGCTTAGATGAATTCCATGTGGCCCGATGCTGACGCCCATTCTGGCTACCTTACCGGCAACAAAAAAGGACTTCCCACTGAGAAACCGCCAGAGCGAACCCAAACAAGACGTCACTCTTGAAAGGGAATCACCTCGAAAGAACCAGGTTTGAGTTTTGGTCTAGTCATAACTTGTTTGGTCGTTACTATCCTTTTCTGCCCTCCCGCCGATCCTATCAACATCCGACATTTGCCCTATCGTAACCGCACAATCATCCTCAAGCACCTCAGACATCAACAAATATGATGGGTGCCATATCGACGCCTGAAACTCGCTCTTTTTTCGCTTTCTATAGCATTATAGGGCTCGTGTGTACCACCGTGTACCTGCTTTCTCTAGCTATCTACCGTCTGTACCTCAGTCCGCTTGCCAAGTTTCCAGGGCCGAAGCTGGCCGCTTTAACGCAGTGGTACGAGGCCTACTATGAGCTCTTCAGCGGCGATGGCGGCCAGTTTATTTGGCATTACGCTAAGTTGCATGAGGAATATGGTGAGTCGATTTTGACTCAGCAACTCACACTTCCGAGATCTCAACGTGTTGCTAACTGGTTTACGCAGGCCCTATTATTCGAATTAACCCATGGGAGCTGCACATCCAAGACTCTAGCTTCTATGACGTGCTTTACTCGTCTTCTAGGCACTCCAGCAAGCTGACCACCCTCGCTCACCGTTTCAACAGCCCAGAGTCGGCCTTCTCGACTGTTAACCACTCCAGACACCGCCAGCGGCGAGCGGCATTGAACCCCTTTTTCTCCCACCGTAGGATCGCTGAGCACCAGCCGAATATTCAGCGGATGATGCATCGCCTCACAGATCGCGTCACGCGGGAATACTTGGGCAACGATAAGGTGTTACGTATCGATCAAATGTGGGGATGCTGGACGTCGGACATCATCAACGACTACGCTTTCGACAAGCCGCATAATTTTCTTGACGCTCCAGACTTCCACGCGAGCTACACGGATGCCATGGTTGATCTTCTGGAACCTGTTCACTATATCACGCAGTTTCCCCTCGTGACAAACCTTTTCAAGATGCTCCCGCTGTCGTGGGTCAAAGCAATGTCTCCTCAAACGGGAACTGTGCTAGACTTTAACAACGTTAGTAGTTGGCCAGGCCAGAGATATGAAATGGGCTGACTTTCGGATCTTGTGTGATATCTTGCTGATTGGTTATACGCTTGAATAGGAAATGACAAACCAGATCCGCATCCTCTTAAATAAGCCGGCAGAGGAAAAGGGGCAGTCCAAGACTATTTTTGGTGTTATCCTCGAGTCAGACCTCCCAGCCTCGGAGAAGACGGTTGGCCGTCTTCAGCAAGAAGCAATTAGCGTGACCGGCGCCGGTATCGAGACGACGATGCGGGCCCTCAGTCTATGCACATTCCATGTCCTGGCAAACCCCCCAGTGCTAGAAAAGCTCCAGGCCGAGCTCAAAGAGGCTATTGTGGATCCCAGAACTCCTCCCGACTGGGATGCGCTCTCACAATTACCATATCTCTCAGCCTGTATCAACGAAGGTGAGTGCAGTTTCTCGACATAGATAATCAAATAAATTTGGAACCTGCTGACCAAAATCATCACAAAGCCCTTCGATTCGCATATGGAACGTCTCAGCGACTACCTCGCACTCTCGAGGACGAGCCTCTCCGTTACGGCGAGTGGCTCATCCCCGTCGGCGCCACCGTGAGCATGGACAACTACGCCGTGTCCCACGACGAGGCTATTTTCCCAGATAACATGACCTTCCGCCCGGAGCGCTGGCTGGGCGACCCAAAGGCTCCTGATGGGAAGAAACTCTCGCGCTACATGGTCGCGTTTGGTCGCGGGACGCGCTCCTGCGTGGGCATGCAGCTCGCGTGGGCAGAGCTTTACACGGGCATTGCGACGCTGTTCCGTAGGTTCAAGATGGAACTCTACGAGACTGAGCGGGATGCGATGGATCTGCACATGGACCGATTTGTGCCGCGTCCTAAACCGCATACTCTTGGGGTGCGGGCTCTGGTTAAAAAAGATCTATATCAGTGACTGATTGCCGGTGGGAAAGACTGAAGATGTTGGGAATGTTTTGGGCGAAACGCTGTAAATCTGTCGTTACCGAGCTCTACAAGTATCCTCTTCTCACAGAAACTTACTAGATTCAGTGGGAAAAGTCGGTGAAGACTTTTCGTCACGAATAAATGGCGTCTTAATAATGTAGTACGTGGATTGGAATTGCTTGGACGCTTGATATGGACGGCATTTAGATAAGATGCATTACGACTTAAGGTCAATTCTAGACAAGCAAGTGAGTGTGTAGGGCTAGGCATTCTGAAGGCTTCCGGACCTTTATTTCCACCTGAGTCCTGTCTGTTACAAACATTCTGGAACGTTCTAAAGGCTTATAGTGTGAGGTGATCTTCGTTGTATCTTATTTGCGATATTCCCACAACGTGTGAATATAACGTTGGAGTGATATTCAAGCAAACCGTTGTAAATAGTCTGATTCAAGACATCAAAGAAAACCTGAAGGAGATAATAGTAGAGAACAAAATATGAAACACAGAGTCTAAAAAGCATGAGGGTCTTCATTCCTTCTTCTTCATCTTGGAAACAATCTTCTCACACAGCGCTGTTAGTGACGTGGCGCTCGTGATCTCCAGCGTTGTCAATTCAACTCCGAGATCCAGCCTGACCCAATTACGCAGCTCTACGGCAGACAAGGAGTCCAAACCATAACTGCTAAGTGGCTTGGCAGGTTCCATTGGTTCCGACAAGCGAAGGGTGGACTGGAACTGCGTGTTCACGACGTCCACAGCGGCCCTCAATACAACCGAGGCGTCTGCATTGGATTGCAGTAACAGCATCAGAGCCTGCACCGCGCGCGATTTATCGTCCTTGCCATCTCCACCAGACGTGACTTCGCCGGTGCCAAAAGCCAGGCTCACGAAGCGAGCGTCGGCAAGAAGGTTCGAGGAGTCCGGCTGCGGCACGGCGATGGAGGTGATGAGTTGAGAGGAGTTGCCCGTCGAAGATATTCTTTGCTGCTGCTGGATGGAAACGCGGACAATCTGGCGGAACAGGTTCTCGTTGATGGAAGTCCAGGCGTCCCGATCCAGAGCCACGCGAAGGTCATTGTGCTCATGCATGTAGCCAACGTCGTCGATGGCACCCAAATCGATAGAAACGGCGGACAGCCCGAGTTTTTGGCGATATACGGCAAAAGCATCGAGGAAGGCATTAGCGGCTGCGTAGTTTGCTTGACCCTTCTGGCCAACAACACCAGAGACCGAGGAAAGCATAGTGAAGAAGGAGAGATCAAGGCCCTCCTCCTGAGCGACGTTATGAAGGTTCCAGGTTCCGGGGACCTTGCAGGCCACGGCGCCGTGGTACTCCTCAGTCGTCATGGAGGTGAAGATCTTGTCTCTCAGAACCATGGCGCCCTGGATAACGCCACCGACGGGAACGCTGGAGGATTTGAAAGCTCTTCGAACGTCTTCCAAAATTGAAACATCGCCCCTTACCAGATCGACCTTGGCACCTTGGGCATGTATGTTCTTCAACACAGCCTGTGAACGCTCGTCATCGTAACCGCCACGGGCGAGAATGACGAGGTGTTTGGCTCCTTGTTGGGCCAAGTAGACAGCCAGAGACCCGCAAAGACCTTTCAAGCCACCCACGATGAGGATGGAAGTGGTCTGGGGCAGATCGAACCTGCGTATCGCGGGGCGGACCATCACAGTCGGCTTGTCCGCCTTGTCTTTGGCCGAGAGGACGATCTTGCCCATGTGCTTAGCCGCACGCATGTAACGGAAAGCACCCGCCACATCCTCGAAGGGGAAAGTAGTCATGGGAGCAATGGGCTTGATGGCGCGCTGGCTAATGAGGCTCATCATTTGGCGCATGAGCCTGGCAATGACGGTGTCCGATACGTGCTCGTGGGACATATCAAAGCAGCGATATGAAGCATTGCGGCCAAACGGCTCCCTAAGATTGGGTCAGTTGTCGGTTTCAAATAACGAGATAAAATGAATTAGACTTACATGGAGAGGTAATTGCGATCAAGCATATCCCTCTTACCCAGCTCGACCATGGTTCCGCCATCGGCGATGCAGCGCCACGACTCGTCCAAAATATCGCCGGTGAGAGAGTTGAGAATGACATCGACGCCGTGCCCTTTTGTGGCGGCCTTGAGCTGAGCAGCAAAGGTAGTGGTTCTTGAGTTGAAGATGTTCTCTCTGGGGATGCCAAAGCTGTCTACCAAGAAGTCCACTTTCTCATCAGTGCCGACGGTCGCGTAGATCTCTGCGCCGATGAATTTACAAATCTGGATTGAGGCGATTCCAAGACCACCGGATGCGGAATGGATAAGCACTTTGTGCCCGGCTTGTGTGTTGGCGAGATCGAAGATGCTGTAAAGCGCAGTGAGGTACACACTGGCCAGAGTCGAGGCCTCCTCAAAAGACATCCAGTCAGGGATGTGGTGCGTTCGCTCAACAGAGGCTATGACCCTGTTTCCAAATGCTCCCTTCTTGAAGACGAGCACACGGTCTCCGGGCTTGTATATGTTTGCAGCGTTTTTGCCAGCGCGACGGATCTCGCCCGCACCTTCGAGGCCGAGGAGGTGTTGATTCTCAGGAACAATGCCCATGGTGACGGCGACATCCTTGAAGTTTAGCCCAGCGGCGAATAGTTCAACTTCCACGCTGCTGTCGGGGACAGACAACTCCGTAGCGGCGACCTCGGTGTACTGCAGTGAATCAATTGTGCCAACACGCTCGCACTGCAGACGAACAGTCGTGTTAAAGTCATGCAGCTCACCCTCGACGAGTTCAGCGCCGTGGGCTAAGGCTTTTTCAACAACGTTAACAACTTCATTGGGCTGCACTCTGCTGATATGTATGACTCCCTGGCGCTCGACAAACTCGTTTTCAATACCAGTCGTTTGTCTCTGATGAGCAGCCCTGCCGAGGTGCTCAAGGACGTCATTTATGGCAGAGACGGCCTTCGGACCCGTGGCTGACTCAACATCCAACGTTGTGATACTGATGGATGGATCCTCATTGCGAACTGTACGACCCAGACCGTGGATCATGGCCCTGTCGGGGCTTGTGACGTTCAGCTGAGAGCCCGAGGTCACCCACAATACTTGGTTGCCCGATACCAATGTGTTCTTGAGAAGCTGCCACTGGGCTTCTGTAATAGTCGGAAGGACTGGGGCGGAGAGATCACTCAGCACCAGAATAGTCTTGTGGTCGCCTTGGGGATGTCTGGTATCCGTGATCTGCCATCCAAACTTGGATAGACCTGAGACAACTTGTGCGGTCAAGTCTGTTGGGTCAGAGAAGTGAATAAGCTCAATGCCTTGCTTTTTGGACACGGCCTCTGAAGAAGCGACGAGAATGTGAATGATGCTGCCATCCCCAGAAGCGATGCTAAAAGATGAACAGAAACCGAAGGATGACGAGATCGCTGGTATGTCGGCTTCGATGGTCTGTATTACGACGTGGCCGCCGTCCGATACCAGCGTGCGTGCGTTCCGTACCATATTATCTTGCGACTCCGATGACCCATCAGCCGCTCTGATAATGACGAGATCAAAGGGGTTTCCAGGAGTTTGCAATATTTTCGGGTCAGCTGCAACGTCGAGCACGGCGTAGGCCACACCTGACTTGCTGCCGTACGTCTCCTCGGCGTTCACGACAGCAGAAGCATCGTAAGAAGAGAACTGGAAGCTGCGACAAGCAGACCTCACCACAGTGTCGGCTTTGCTGCCCTCAAGCCATACACTACTGGCATCGGAGGGGATTGTGCTGGCCTCAAGCACACTGAGGTTCGGGAACTTGTGAGCAGCCAAGTCGATGAATTCGTTGAGGGGATCCTCTGCTGCCGCGATGGCCGCCACGGTCTCTTCAGTAAGGAACGTTACATCTGGCTTCCACGAGATGCGGCTGTACATGTGTGACGAGTAAGGATCCTCCTGTGTATCCAGTTGGTGATATCTTAGGCCAGTGAGCTTGAAACGCAAATCTCCAGTCTCAGAGTCAAGAACGACTGCGTTGGACTTGTAACTCTTGGTACTTTCTGGTAGACCAAGGCCTACGTACTCAGAGCTCGTCGTGGAGATAGCCTTTCCAGAAATGCTCTCCACTGGGAAAATGGCCAGCTCATCAATGATGGCGGGTACCAATACGGCACTGATGCCGGGCCTATCACCGGCCCACAGAGAAGGGGCACAAGACTGAAATGATCCATCAATGGCGGCGGGGTGCATCGGATACCACGACTGGGGGTGCTCCGAAGCGGGAGGACTCAGATCCACGAGAGACCGAGACTCGCGCGAACCGATGATGGACTCAATCTCAAGATGTTTCTGGAAAACCGGACCAAAGTTGTAGCCAGTATCGTGCATGGCCTTGTACCACAGAGCGCCGGGGACGGGGTCAACCAGCGGCTTGACAGTGCCCTCAGCTGCAGTCGAATTCTCGGGGGTGCTCTCCTGGATTCTGACTAGGCCACGGCAGTTCTCGAGCCAGGCATCCCCTACCTGAGAGCTGATTCTGAACTCGTGCCAGGAATCCTTGGCTCCCGTGCGCGGGTGAAGTGCCAGCATGATCTTGGTGTCTTCGTTCGAGTCGTCCAGCACGAGGGCGCGGATGAAGTTGATGTCTCGAAGCTTGTAATGGTATGCTGTGGGGAGAACCTTACCCTCCAAACTACGCAGCGCTTCGGTGTTCTGGCGGATGGCCTCCATAGCCATGGCGATGAAGCCAGCCGCGGGGAAGACGATCTCCGGGCCCATCTTGTGGTCTCGAAGCCAAGGCAGGTCTGCCAGCTTGAGAGACTTCTTGAAAGACGGCGCCTGCCAGGATGTACCCAGGATCTTGCTGCCCAAGAGGTCATGGTGCGGGAAAAGACGGTATCGCCAGTCCTTGCTAGCGTCGCTCTCGTACCAATAATGTGTAGAATGGTCCCATGAGTAGTTGGGCAGGTCGATAATGGTCCTCGGTTTCCAAGTCTCAGTCTTGTTCACGTTGGCCAAATTAACCTCTCCGCCGCTGATGAAAAGCTTGCCGGCCACCTCGTAGAGCGACTTGAGCGCGGCGGGACCACGAGACCAGGCCGCAATGTACTGGACTTCGGCGCCATCTCCGAGAACAGCCTTTTTCACCTGGGCCACAGGACCTGAGAGCGCACCGCTGGGGCCGATCTCGACGAGGAAGTCCGGACGGCTGTCATCCGCGAGCATGGTTTTGGTAGCTTGCTCAAAGCGTACCGCAGAGCT